CTGGTAGATAAGTGAGCTTTTCCATTGTGGTGCTGGTTTTGACTTCACTTGACGAGAAGTTCCACGTTTGCCTACATTTAACTGTAAAGAAGTTGAACGAGACTTCGTTCGACAAAGAACATCACTTGGAGTAGACCTATTGCTGTATAATTCATACGTTGAAGAAGTAAAGTAAAGGTTACTATTGGGAAAGTATACTATTCCTTTGAGAATTTTAAATAGGAGAATGAGGTTAAGTCGGTGGCGCCTGAACCAAAGGAGTTCTATCTTAAGAGTTGTGCAACGTTAGTTGTAGGGAACTTTCAGACTTGTTTCCAAAATTTTACTTGTAAATCTTCTTTGGACAGTTTCAGTTTTTGGTTTGTCTTTAACAGGTGTGCTAAGATAAATGGACAGTACTCAAGGAGGGGCCATATATGCGTTTTACACCGTAGCATTTTAGATTATTGGGTTTGAAGGTTATGAAATATAAATCCAAGTGATCTTCTGGCCTTTGAAACTTGGTTGGTAAAATAGAGAAAGAATAAAAAATCAGAAGATTAACAGAACCCGAGGTCAAGTACAGAAGGAAAGATAGTGATTGGCTTGTCGTATGTATCTATGTGTGGTGCGATACGAAGGCGAGCTGAGAATAACAGACCACACTTCTCCACGTTGATCTCCATCATCCACGACTTACGCCATGTCCCAATATTATCAGTATCCAATTGAATTTTACGAAACAGATTTGTCACTTCTTGGGTGGTACTGTGGTACACCACTTTCAAGTTATTGGCATATAAGAAGGGTCTGCCATGCTTTATAGCATCACAGGCGTCATTTAGGTGTATAAGAAAGAAGAGCGGCCCTAGTACTCTACCTCGAATTACGCCACTTGATATAGGGGTGGTACTGGAAAATGTGTCTTTAATCTTAGCAGTTTGGGACGGACCACATATAAATGAATAATGCCACTGTTAGATTGCCAGATATGCCGTAAGACCCTAGTTTTTTTCAGGAGTAAACTGCGACATTCTTTATCGTATGCCTTCCTAAGATCAATGAACAATAAATACAGCGAAAATTCCGTCTTTAAGTCCAGTTATAATATCAAACAGTTCCAAGCAACAAGTCAAACAAGACCTCTGTCTATGTGTAAAGTGCATGACCTCATAAACCCTCGCTGCATCCCCCGTGCAATTTACTCTCGTGTCCATTTTATCCGTCAGAACTAGACCTAAGTCACTCTCCGACTCGTGTGAGACAAGCTTTCGCTACACAGGGTGTCACTCGCAGTCTGCAACCTACATGTGCGTAATTTGACCACTTTCCACTTCTTCAGGTTGAAAGTCTTGCCACTGGCCACCACCTAGTCTTCCGGAAGTTTTAGATCTGCCTGTAGACTATCTGAGTCATCCGAGCATTTTATTGCTCACCATATCCTTACGTCGTCAGCGTATAGAAGAGTCGGGCAGCTTAGACGGCATGGTAGGTCATTCATAAAAATAAAAAACATCAGTGGCCCTAGGACAGAACCCTGCGACACTCCTGATAACGGGCCATGACAGGATGATCGGACCCGGCTGACCTCGGTGCAGAAGTTCCTTTTAACCGGGCAGTCCTTCAACCATGACAGAAGTGGCTCACCTATACATGTCTGACTTATTTTGTGTGGGAGAAGGTCATGGTGAACTGTGTCAGATGCCTTCTCAAAGTCTAGGAAGACCACATGGACTGGAACATTCATATTCCAGCATGATGTTCAATCGTCCCGAGCTGATAGTATGTTTGTTACACAGAATCTGCCTTTCCTGAAACCGTGTTAGGCTCCATGGAATCTATTAGACCTATCGATGTAATCCCTGATGTGATCATCAATAATTTTTTCCAGTACTTTTGATACCACTGGGAGTAGAGCTACTGGTCTATAATTAGCGGCATTTTGACTGTCCTCACTCTTGAATATTGGAGAAAAGATGGCTTTTCTTCAATGCCTTTGCAGGTTCCCCGAATCCATCGAGTGTTGGAACAAGTCGCATAAGGGCCTATAGAGAGCTTCGGCTCACTGTTTCATAACAGATGGCCTGACGTCGTCACAACCAGGTGTGAGTCTCTGCAGCTCCCACAGTAGTCTAAAAAAAATTCCGGATTTATCTAGGGAGTTCCAGTTTCCAGCTCCGGAGCACCGTGTATGACCATAGAGATAGAAGGCGTCAGTTCCAGCGACTCCCTCCCCATTTGCCAATCAGCCCATGGCCTATCATGTCTCACTCCTGTACTGAAACTCCTATCGACAGTTAACACTTGAGCCTGCAAAGGCATTCTCTCAGCCTCTTCGGCAGACCCTAAGGGGAGGTGGCCGCCCCTGAGGAACCTGGACACACCTGTACAGTCTGCACGATTTTGCTGATTTGGTGTTCAGATCTAATTTACTGCACAAATTGGACCACTGTTCATGATCAAACAGGGACCTTTTTCAAGCAAATTATCATTGCACAAGTGTATATTAAACAGGATGGGGGAATTCGATCTACTGACCTCTGACTTAGGTTTGGATTTTGGCTGCTTGTCCTCCTTTGTAGTCTCAGTCACTTTAGACTTCATCAGGCCCAGACTAGTGTTCGTTATGTCGGATTGCTTGCTAACGGATGCAAGTAGTGCTTTGGCGATTCCACCTTCCCCTGCTGTTCTAGGTGTAACCTTGGGAGTCTTCAGTTTATGGAGGTTGATGTTTCCATTCGGTTTGGCTGAAATATCCTTCTCACGGTTTTTACCAAGTTTTGGTGATGTGGTGTTATCAGGTGGAGAGCTGCATGAGACTGTGTCAAGACACAAGAGTGGCGTGCTCTTTGTGCTATCCGGAGACACTGTGTGCGAGACCATGCAAGGGCAACAAAGTGGGCAGATGAACCAAAACCATAGGCGCGGATTACTTCTCATAAACTCATAATATGACTTTAGCCCCCCTTTGTCATAACGGCAATGTACCCATCATTTTGCAAATATTGCATTCAAATGCTGAATCAGTTCTAGAAACGACAGCACTGCAGGCCTGACATTCTTCCCCTTTTCTAGAAGAAGCTTCCGAGGTCCCATGACGTCTTGAGCGTTTCTTTCTTTAGCTGTGTGTCACTCCCTGGCTTCCAATACATACAGCTGTTGTATCATGTCCACCTGGTTTTGCCTGTGGCGTTTCAGTGCTAGACTGTGACAATGTAGGTGTAGTATCAGAACAGGAGAGATGTACGCGGGTCCTGAGAATAGGTATGAGAGATAGAGTTGATGCGCCTGGGTTATTTCCTCCTCTTACTGATGCCCTTGTGATTACAGAATGTGGTGGTTCGATGCTTTTTCTAAGGCTATTTTCAATCGCCATATTAATAATTACCATAACTTATGCTAAATATTAGACACAGCAATAGTATCTGCCTGATAGAACAAGAATAAGATTGATGAAGTACAAGGTAAGAAAAGAAATGGTTTTCGACTTTACCCAGTACTTTTCAGTTACTGGGCTTCACAGCAGTCACCTAGCAGACCAACTGGTCTTGTTTATCTGAACGAGTGAGGAAGGTGTTCCTACAGATGCAGCACCTAAAGCTTTGGCAGTAGTTCGATAGAGCTGAACTTACGACATAGATATTTGATATGGAAGTAATGGTTGAATATAATTCACCGGCTAGTAAGAACAGGTTTCCCAAGCGGGTAATTCACAAAGCAGGCATTTTCCGGTTAGGGAGGAAAAAGCACGTTGTTTCCAAACTGCACGCATAGTCTATCATGGAATTTTTGAGTAGGTTGGCAAAATTAAACTTTAAGCACCACTAACTGCCAATCAGAGAACTACATTTAGCCGACCAATCACATGAAAGAGGGATTTCTCATTAAATAAAACGTATATTTATGGAAAAAACATAAAAACTGCATAAAACGGTTACATAAGGTATCTTTCTCTAACATGTGACAGAAACATCTCTCAATTTAGCATAGGAGTGTCAACAGAAAAGTCACACACATTCCATAAATATATTCATCCAAATGACTATAGTTGAGTTCCTTTTGAGGTCCATTTATAGCCTTAATCCTAATTTTTCAATCTTCCCCAAAATCTTTCTATAGATTTCATGTGTGTTCTTGTAATTGGATGCCCAAGATTATTAGAATGGTTCACTCTGCGATGGATATATCCAAGAGATGACAGCGAGTTATACCATGGATCCCTGTTTCAAAAGTCGAGTGACAATAGATTCTTAGGTCGTAGACTTTCTGTCTGGAGTTCTCTCCACGAATCCTTTCTGCAGGGAGGTGTCACATAAACCGATCACCTAAACATTGTTAACTCGCTTACGACCACGGTTGTTTTTTCTTCAGTAACAGTTTCGTACACATGTGTGACGATACCTTCCCAGCCCAACAACGAAGTAATCCTCTCCATATTCCACGATGCGATGTCTTTGCAGTGCTGGTACCACTGAATTGTTGACACGAGGCTATTTTCGGTATCAGCAGCTGCGCCGCTCACAGGCTTTTTTGAAATCCAGTAGTTACAAATATACAAAATCTGGGTTGGGGAGAGAAGCGACCTAGCAAAAAATGTTCCTACGAAATATTAAAATTATCAACTTCCCTTCCCTAATACTGACTCTTCTCAAGCAAAGTGCACAACGATGGATGTATCCATCAACCGACCAGCTAAGGCCTTTTAAACTCATGACACCACCACATGAACAAATCCTCTCCTTTATAAGCAACCACAAATCCAGGCAATACTGCAAGCGCAAGTTCGTTAGAACACGCATTTGATACGAATCAAGCGCCATACAACCTTGAACTCACAAGCATAGACATCACTGAACCATTCGAGGTTGTTCGCTGATTGGTAGTTAGTGGTGCTTAAAGTTTAACTTGGCCAGTAGTTCTCCACGGAAAATATTTAGGAAGTGGAACTTCTACTAATGTGTCACATAAATCTAGCTCAATGGGGGTCTCTTTAGTTATCTTGTTTGTCTGCATTCTGTGAAGGTCATGCAAGCAGGCAACACTATAAAGACTGTTCTCGTGCTTAGATTTTAAAGTGAGGTTTTCTACTATCAGGCCGTTCTGAATTCGTAATTAAAATCCACGATATATGAATCCAAACTATTCACGTTGATTTTTGTCCGGAGAGGTGGCTTTTGTATGAGCCAAGAAGGTTCTTATTACTGATTGTGAAACGCGCATTTCATAATCAGTAATGAACACTCATGCGCATGTGTCTCTGCAGGTACCTGCAGAGAGGCGTTTTTCAAGCGTAACTAGTGTTCATTAATACCATTCAAGCCATTTTAAGGTGTTATGTATGTCTGCAAGGAACAGACTGGCTGAAATATGATGTAGGCAAACCAGCTGATACCTTTGAGGCGTAAACGAGCTCTCATCACCCACCGCATTAGAGAAATCTGCAGTAGAGATTGCTTGGAAGAGGAGCTTCTATTCTTCAAAAATATCCTTGCTCGAAATGGTTACCTGACACGTTTTGTCGAAAAGAACATGAAAAGTAAACCAAAAAGAAGAATGCGATTCAGCGCCGAAGAAAACGCTCTCTATGAATTTGAGTTTCAGGGGGGTTGGCAGCTGATATCCCAAAGAGGGGAATATCCAGCTCATTAAAGGAAACCTTCCCTGCAGCAACACTATAGAGCGACATTCTCTAGCCGTCCGTTACTTCGAAACAATGCTAAGGACAAACTCTTGCATAGGACCAATTCAGTGTGCATATACCAGTTCACCTGCTCGTGCGGAGCTAGGTATATCGGTCGTTGTATGCGTGTCCTTTCAAAACACTACCCAACATGGCAGCAAAAAGGAGGCACCGGTTTAATCAGAAGTGCCATTATTGAAAATCAGATCAACACCTCCCACAACATCTCAACTGATTCATTCAAATTAGTTTACAAGGTCAACAGAAACCTGCCAAAAGCAGTATGTTTTCGACTTTCCTGTACTGCGGAAGCCCTCGCAATATGCATCGGAAAGCCGGAGCTGTATCTTCAAAAGAAGTTAGTCCAACCTCTGCAACTACCATGGACTTAGTTCGGTATGTTCCTTTAGCCTTCGTTTTTTGATCTATTTTGATCCTTTTTTTCGTCCTCTGTGTGTGCGATTCTTACTTTCTCTGTCTTCATTCAATTCATCCCATTTTTCAGTTATTAGAACAGCTGTTTTGAGTTTGTTTCCATGCTTTTCCTGCTCACACTTATAATTCGTTTAAATTAACTATTTTACAGTTATATCCTAATCCTGTGTAATTTTTGTTTCTAAGGTTCTTGTAATCCATATTCACACCTAACTTCCATTTCAAGTTGAAAATTTTTATTTCAATTTGTTTCCATGCTCATTTTTTCACACACTTGAAATTCGTTATAATCCTGTGTAATTTTGTTTCTAAGCCTCTCGTAAACCACATCTAGTTGAAAATAATTGTCACCTTTTATTCGCCTTCGTAATTATGTGGAATCAAGTAAAAATTGTATATATGTAAAATTATGTATTTAAATGCGATTGTACAGCTTTTGGAAATGAAATCGCCGAAAATATATTCTTTCTAATGTCCTATTAGGTGTTTTCCACAGCCAGCTGATTCACACAAGTGTAACTACATTCAATTTCAGAATTATGGCCTGAGGATAGAAGGCTCGAATCCTGTGTTAATCCTTTTCTAGTAAGTTCCTGTACTTTTCTAAACCCTTGAATTATTCAGTTGATGGCTGTGACACCATTTCTTCTAGGAATCTGTTCCTCGAGTTTATAACTTGTTGTGAGAACCAGTGTTCCACAGCAGCATAGTTCCTCTCCTGCTATGTCATCCTAGGTGTTTAGACCTAGTGGGAAGGAAAAAAGATAGTAGATTAGATCCGTAGTCATTGTTTAACATTTTGAACAATGTAGTGTGATTACCTCTGCTTACGATATGACAAGTTGAAGAGATTCATATTGTTTAATCTTTCATTGTATGATAAATTGGCCATTCTGAGAATCACATCTGTTGCCTCCCTCTGAACCCTTTTCTAGAATATGTAAATCCCTCTTAAGAATAGGAACGTCTACCTAGGTAGTCGTCCAGTCTTGACCTTATCAGAGATGTATCTGAAATGAACATATCTGTAGTAGTTCTAGTGAACACTCCGCGTATAACACATGAAGATCTGAAACTTCTAGTGACCATCGCGCGATTGTGTGCTGTAGCATTTTAAGTTGTAACTTATTATGAGGCCCATTGGGTATGGGTCGGCATGAGTGAACTGGTTCTAGCTCAGCTGGTCAGCTCTAGTTCGTATGAGCTGACTCTTACGTGTCTGATACGCATAGTTGCGCATTTCACTACATTGATGGAGAGTCTCTATTCTTTGGACCAATCTAATAATTTGTTGAGATCTTGTGACACGAGCATGTCATTTTCGCCCATTAGCTCTCTCCAAATTTTTAAGTCATCTGCGCAGAGGACCATAGGGGATTTGGTGAGTATAGGTAACTTGTTGATATAAAAGATAAATAAGAGAAGCCCGATTACGGTGCCACTCCATTGTGTACTGCTGTCTGGGAGGAAAGTTTTGAGTTGATCCCGACTCTGTCTCCTAATTATGAGGAAATCCCTAATTCAGTCCAGTAAGCTACCCTTGGTCCCAGAAATTTCCAATTGCATGAACAGTTTTGTGTGGGGTGCTTTTTCGAAAGCTTTGCTGAAGTCTATGAAACGATGTAAATGGATTTTTCGCGACACCTTGGCCCAGATCCCTCTTACTGTGAGGTTTGTCAGGTACATGAATTTTCGCCGGATGCCATACTGTGCCCTGGGCAACAAATAGTTGTTTTCCAGATATGCCATAATATCTTTCTTGATGACTCTCTCCAGTATATTGATGAAGGTGTTGGTGAAACTGATGGGCCCGTAGTTTGAGGGGCAGTGTCTGGATCCTCCTATGCGGTTTTTTCAGTCACGGTAACATTCCATTCATCATAGGTTGAAGATCATAGTAAGCGGGCCAGCTATGTGCGCTGATAGATCCTTGAGAAGCGAAGGAGGAAGATCATCGTGTCCCATTGACTTCTCTGCACCTAGTTTCTTTAGAGCATGAAGTACGATATTTTGGTCTGTATTTCTTTGATGCGGCTAGCGCTGCTGCTATGGGAGGTAACAACACATGCGTAAAGACTTTTGAGAGGTATTCTGCCATTGCTTCCGCTTTTTTCATGATCCTCTTCGATTGTGTCGTCATCAATAGTTAAGTTTCAAATTCCGTTGGATGTCTTATTTTTGGGGGTTTATGTACGAAAAAATCCTCTTGTGTTGTGCCGCTGTATTTAGAGCTAGATGCCTCTCAAACTTCATCCCTGATTGACGAATTCCGGCAATAGCTTCGTTCTTGATGATGTTATGCAACTCTATAGCCTTAAAAATACCAAGTGTGATAAACATCCACCAACATTTACGGTTGCGAATCTTTTGGTTTATCCATGAGGAACAATGTTTTTGACTCTAGGATAGACTTTAGGCAGGAATTCACCTACGACCTTGGAAAAAGCCATAACGCTGAAAGGTAAATTTGGTCTTCTAACCCTAACCTTAGTGTTTCTTTAACCTAGCAACTATTTACTTGTGGCACACTGTAGTAACTTCAGGGTATACCTCGGGCGCACAGAAGAAAGTCGGGTCACACTTTAGACATACTACAGAGAATTAAAGACAAATGTTAGCTCTACCAGGTTATCGTAGCCCTAATCTGTCCCTAACTTAAACCTAACCTTACCCCTTCCCAAATGTAACCTGAAACTTATCAGATACCCCGTTTAGTATCATAACACCTCATTAAGCACATTTTTTCGGTAACTTGCTGACTAAACGTTCTAAGGTCATTAGTGCGTTCTCTCCTCTTCGGCGCTTAAAGTTTAACTTCTTTGGGAATGCTTGGAATTCAAAATGCTGCGACCATACAGTACTCATATTTCCAATGGGAAAAGCCTTGTTTCGAATTTGAGCTTTGTAAAATTTCATTAAACATACCTATGTAGTCAATCTTTGCCAGAATCTTTTCTGCTTCACTTCTGCAAACCTCAACTTTACCTGCAATGTCAAATTTCTACGTTCGTTACTGTTAGTCTTTACTGGCTTCATGTTACATAGGTGACAGAGTGAGATCATTATAAATGCTATTCAGGTTGATTATTAATTCGACAAGCCAACATAGAAACCAGCAAAGCTGCGTTCATTTTTCAGTTCATTTGTTTGGAAGATATCCACTACTTTTCATGTTACAGATTCTGAAAATCCTCACTAATCTCCGCCTAGTTATCCTTTATCGCATGTATTTCCGTCGATTGCGGTTTCTATTCAACCTTTCTCCCATGTTTGTGCGATTTAACGAAGTTTTACACTGTTTTGCGAATTTCTAAGTTGGGAATTTAGTCTTCCTAGTAATCCAAGGAGTCAAAGAAAGAAAGCAAAAGTTTCCTGTATTTGTAATTTCCCCTGGTAATGGGTAACAGTAAACGTCGAAATCTGCTTTTAAGGTGGATTTTCTGTCATGTGAAGCCAGTCACTGATTCTGTTGATACATTATTATGGTTTCCTAATCCTTTCTTGTTATTACAAAACCAGGATTTAAAAATATGTTTTATTTCTTTGCTTTGCATTTTATTGGACTACTACTGATATACGCAACGAAGTCGTCTGCCATATATAAAAAATCGGTTCCGGATACGACTGTCAGTTTTTAGTAGATCCTTATGAAATTCATTCATTTGGTTTTAAATCATGTTTTCTATACCAATTTCTGCGTTTTATATTTTAACGATCACTTAAGTATCAGTTATGCATACAATCATTCCTTTATAGAAGTTCAGCACCTTGCAATTCAAATCCCATTGAGATCAATTAACCTGATTTAAAGTGTTATCGCTTTTCCAACTGTAGTTATCTCATCATCTTCAATGACACAACGAAGTTTCGCTTTGCCATCCAACCTATATCCTGTATCTGACTTAGCGTCGAAGCCAGTTACATGTTCTAAACTACGACCAACCATTTTGCTCAGTAAATCCGCTCCCAGTATAAGACAGAAGTTTTCCCTACCTTTAGAACCAAATTGTTCGGTCAGTGTTACGACTACTAAACGATCTAGTGTACCATTGCATGGAGGTACACATATCCCAGTTACACCATGTTCCACTGCGTCATCGAAAGCAACTGTTGTGTCATCCCTTCCTAATAAGTCGAAAGTTCGTTTTCAACCAAAATCTATAGAATCATCTTCTACTAATTTGACTTCAGAAGAGTCGTTTCAAGGGTTGTCTACACCTAATGGGAGTGTAAATACAGTACGCATCCAGCTGGGACCAAATGGTCAGATCGATCGAAATATAAGAAATCCATCATCTAGTGTACCTCGTGTATTGCCAATGTATCAAGCTCCATGCGAAGTGTGCGGTACCAGTATTTCAACCGAAACAAGTGTTCAGCATTTCCATATTGTATATTATCATAAAGTAAGTTTTCCCAGTTTTTTCGAATTTTTGATCAAATATGAGAATAATCTTACTGTAAACAGTGAAGTTGCTCATAAGTATTTTCCCTGTTGATAAAGAGTGTTTATTGCTTTGGGTTAGTAGTGGGCTGTGAAAATGTTTATGTGACTCTGACTCCTCAAAATAGTATCATGAATTCCCTAATTATCTGTTAAAGTCAACATATACGCATAACTATGATGAGTGAATATCTTTACTTCATACTACGAAACTAAGTCAGAGAAGAGAGCTTGACTTAGTCAGGAAGTAATCAAGTTGTTAAAAGACCATTAAAACATATGGCAGGTCTTCATTTGCATCACTAATCATCATCATCATCACCTTTCACTCTTAACACAGTCAGTCCTACTTGACTTACAATAGTCAATATTGATGTATCAGGCTTATCATAGTAGCTTAATATATTTCTTCTTTCTAATACTTGCGTCTGAAAATAATACACCTTAATGAAGTCAGTGAGGTAGTGGTAAGACTAAAAACATCTACTGGACAACTAATATTCCCTGTGGTAATGTGTGAGGACAATAATATGTTCCTCTTGAACAATCGGTACTCTAAGGTACGTTACTATGTCTCTTACAAGAGGAAAAAATTTAGGTTACATATTACAAAATTTTACGCGTTAATGTTGATGTAATTCGTCTATCTGCCATTGTCTATATGTAGGTTTACGAGTAATTAAATTAAACACTTGACACCAGTCGGTAGTTCTAAGGTTGGAACCCCACTTTGACGATTTCAGTCGGATCTAACAACCGGTGTCATAAACTATCAGATATATTGTAACTCATGGCCTAGTGCTCATAAACCATGTGCCCATTAATTTAGCTACTTTTTGTATGTTAATTCCATATTACTTTAACTGGTGAGTAAATTCAATTGGATTGGATTATTATTATTATAGTTAAATTGTTAAAGAGTAGGAATTTTAATAACATCATGAAGGTCTCCTGCTATAAACTTTGACAGACATTTTTCTATCATTAAGTCCTTTTCAATAGTCGTCTAGTTCATGGTCTGCAATCACAAACTTACTTGGTCTGTATTAGACAGGTAAAGTGCAGCTTGTGCTACCGAAAGACTTACACTATTCGTTTGTCAAGTAATCTAAGTAAAAAGTTGAACTATGTAGGGAATACCATTGATCGAATTTCATAAAAAAGCGTAGCTTTCTAATGTTGATTTTTCATGAGAGAGGAAGATTTATATACTAATATTTGTTTGGTTGGCTTTCGTATCCATACACTTAACTGTAACGGACATCTAACACTTTTTACATGCTATAATTGTCCTTTAACTTCCACATCTACACGATATAGTTCAATACTAATTGAATAGAAAACTTCACCGGTATAAAGTAGACTGTGAAACTAGTTAAGTTTTAGGTCATTGAAAACAATACAACAAGTACTTTTAAGGGAAGATTATTTTATTCCATATTAGTTTGTTTATTGGATGTGTCACACAGTGAAAGAGTATTATTTACTGGATGACGTTTCGAACAAAATTTATTGTTCATAATCATATCAATTATAAACACACGACTTCGAAACTTGAGTTTTATAGTTTTCATTGTCGTCTCCTATTTGTCGTAGGGTTAGTAGAATTTTCAGATATCTGGGACAGGTGTTGAATCATTCCTATTACAAGTATTTGCAGTTGATTCGATAAACAAAGCTTCTGTTATCAATCTCTCCCTCCACCCTGTAACATTAGATCTTAAAACTGTCATCTAATCCCGTCCTATTGTATGGTTGTGTGTGATTGCCTGTAGTGAGTGCTATAGCTGAACTATTCCTCAGGTTTCTTATCCCATTAGGGTCAACTAATCTAGATTTAGCTAAGTTTTTATGCTCGGCTAGTCAGACTGCACCTGTTCCACTAGTTTGACCTATGTATCTAACCTGACAATCATTGCAGGTAGGGTATTAGATAAACTAGATGGTTTTGTTTCATGGGCTGCTGCACAGGGTCCACTAACCGATAAGGCTTGTTTCCAACTGAGTTGGTGGGTTTGAATGCCAGCCACTCTTATTCCTGCCTTGTTAAGAATTCTGCGTAAGGTTTCTGAGGTTCCTTCCTTGTATGAAATTACTACTGATGATTTAGATTCCTTATTGTTGGTGTTGTCTTGCGCATGTTTAACATGCATGTCATAAGGTCCGTTGTAGACCTTATACGCCGAATGAAGCCGTTTCTAGGTAAGTCTAAATTTTAATGCCCAAAACTAATAACCTTAGTAGGATGTATGGTGTTGTGAAAGTTCATAAGTCAGGGTACCCTATTAGACCGATAGTTGATTTTAGAAATTCACCTACTTATGAATTATCTAAATATTTAGCCATGGTATTAAATCCCCTAAAAATCCACTCGAAATCTAGACTAACTAATTCTTATGAACTAAAACATAAATTGAATAATTTAAAATTAGATAATGAAGAAAAAATGGTTAGTTTTGACATTGTCAGTTTATATACACATATACCAATAAATATGTCTATAGAGACAGTCAGAAACGAACTCATTTCTGATCAAGAACTCGAACTTAGGCCGGAAGTGCCACTTGAGGACATAATGCTAGGAGTGCAGCTATGCTTGACTTACACAGTGTTTCAATTCCAAGGGAAAATATACAAACTGAGGGAGTTGCCATGGGGTCGCCAATGTACCCGGTTGTGGTAGATATGTTCATGGATAGGTGGGAAAACATAGCGATTGAAACGTTCAGCCCCACCCCAAAAGTATGGTGGAGGTATGTAGATGACACATTCGCTGTACTTAGAATACAGGATATAGATAGATTTTTCGAACACATTAACTCAAAGGTGGAGGCAATTCAATTCACTTATGAATTGGAAAGTCAGGAAGGGGAATTTCCAATGTTAGATTGCAGCATAAAAAGAAAAGATGGTAAGTTAAACACTAGTGTTTATAGGAAACCCACACATTCAAACAGATATTTGGACTTCCGATCATCCCATCCTGTCAGTAAAAATGGGATTGGTGAAATGTTTAAGTGATAGAGAACAAAAACTTAGAAGTATCAAGGTAAATCTAAGACAGGAAGTGAGACATATAAGAGAAGCCTTGAAACTTAATAACTACCATGATAAATTAGTCAGAAAGTATGCAGGGAAATATAAAAATAATATGATAAATAATGACAGTAGTCATAGTGATAATGATAACAATAATATTAATGACGACATGCATGTTAAACATGCGCAAGACAACACCAACAATAAGGAATCTAAATCATCAGTAGTAATTTCATACAAGGAAGGAACCTCAGAAACCTTACGCAGAATTCTTAACAAGGCAGGAATAAGAGTGGCTGGCATTCAAACCCACCAACTCAATTGGAAACAAGCCTTATCGGTTAGTGGACCCTGTGCAGCAGCCCATTAAACAAAACCATCTAGTTTATCTAATACCCTACCTGCAATGATTGTCAGGTTAAATACATAGGTCAAAGTAGTAGAACAGGTGCAGTCAGACTAGCCGAGCATAAAAACTTAGCTAAATCTAGATTAGTTGACCCTAATGGGATAAGAAACCTGAGGAATAGTTCAGCTATAGCACTCACTACAGGCAATTACACACAACCATACAATAGGACGGGATTAGATGACAGTTTTAAGATCTAATGTTAAAGGGTGGAAGGAGAGATTGATAACAGAAGCTTTGTTTATCGAATCAACTGAAAATACTTGTAATAGGAATGATTCAACACCTGTCCCAGATATCTCAAAATTCTACTAACCCTACGACAAATAGGAGACGACAATGAAAACTATAAAACTCAAGTTTCGAAGTCGTGTGTTTATAATTGATATGATTATGAACAATAAATTTTGTTCGAAACGTCATCCAGTAAATAATACTCTTTCACTGTGTGATACATCCAATAAACAAACTAAGATCGAATTCTTTACTACCACAGTGCCAAGGTTGTACACATTTATTAAGATTATTTTATTTTGGCGTTGCTTAAATTGCATCTTATGTGTATTCTAGACTTTCGAAACGTATTCCTAGTGGTGATTTTAATTATATTCGTGATTTATTTTTCTGTGAAATCAAATTAGGGTGAATGTCCAAGAAAATTTCCAAGTTTCCCCTGTGAAATGTGTGGTCAGTTATTGTGGACAAGGAGTGGATTATTCAGTCACCAAGGTACCAAATGTGGGTTTTGCGGTGAAACTAAACTGTGCAGTTCAACTTATTATGTCCACAAAATCACTAAGCACCCTGTAAGTGGGAGGTGTATCTCCTTTGTGTATTTTGTGTGATTAATCTAACTTTACCGGTTATCATATAACGCCGTATCTCTGCATATTCCCACCAACGACTGTCTTATCAGTGTCGCCTCGAAGCCAATAATGTTTGCATTTCTCATCGTAATATCAAGCAGTTGGCACTTAGTTTCAAATATTTCAAAATTTGCCTTCAACGTTACATATATAATTAAGTCATACCAGTCTGTTATCCAGTTGCTGATTTCTATTGTAAAGTTTGTTCATTTTTGTTGTTGTTATTGATGCTTCATTGCAATCAGGTCAAATTAATAAAATGAAGTCAAAATTTCAAAATTGGTTGGCTTGCGGAATACAAGAATGGTTTACTCATATCATTTAATTAGTAGTAACTGAAAACGCTGTTAGCATCTGTTAATTGCAATATGACAAACAATTTAGTTTTATGATTCCGTGTTCCACCACCGACCAAAGCTACATCTGTTTTGACGACTAGTTAGTATTCTTGAAACATGTATTTTGGGTGCTATCTATAATGACAATATATTATTACTATTCGTTCATTTCTTTCCGAGCGAAACACAGGGCTTCACCAGCACGCCTCCACTTTACTCGGTTCTCTGCGATCGTTTTCAGCTGGCTCCACGGTTGTCCAAAATCATTCGCCCCTTACATGCTCTCTTCCATGTCATCCTCAGATGCCCAACTCGTCATTTCACATTCTGGTTCCACCCGAGAGCGTACAGTGTGATGTCATTCAACGGTCTCTTATGTGTGTGTCCAGCCCACTTTCAATTCCTTCTGAATATTTGTGTGGCGATAGGTTCTTGACTCACTCACTGCCAGAGTTTCTTGTTGGTTATTCTTTCCGACTAGCCATCTGACTGTCAGTATCGAAGAAAATCCACAACCTACTGGGAATGCTTTTGTTGATGCACCATGTGTATAAACCGTATAAACTGGCCGACTTGATATTAGTATTAATAATCCAGGTCTTGTTACCTTTGCTAAGTGCTGTAGATATGTGGACCGATTACACAGCAATGAATACCTGTCTTGTTTTTCTGATCCTGGCCTTGACATCTTCATTTGTACCATCTGTAGTTGAAACGATGATGACCAGGTAAATAAAAAAGATAACTTTCTTAAGATTTCTCCAGTTGATGGTGATTGGTATTTGTTGTTGTTGTTGTTGCTGGTTGGGTATCTTCATCATCTCTGTCTTCTCGATGTTCACCTGAATTCCTGCGTTCTCTTCCTGTTCTGCTAACTTGTTAGTTTTAGCTTGTAAATTTTCGAGCCTTTGGGACATGAGATATAAATCATACGCGAAGTTCAGGTCTTCTAGGGCGTTTTATCAGTCCAGCGAATGCCTATCCCCTCACTCGTCATGACCTGTCACCACAGTTAGGAATATCATCAGTGAAACAAAATGGTCTCGTTTTACTTATATCTTCACTTAAAACTCTTCGCTAAGCCTTCTGTTGTGACATGTGGCATCTCATATAGCTGTTGATTGAGGTTTACAAGTGTTTATGGTATTGGACACCATAGTATTGAAGAAGCTGCGAAATTACTTCATGGTCCACTCTGTCAAAAGGTTTTTTCAAAGTCGATGCAGAAATTTGTGTGTCATTCTTCTCGGTAATGATGCATGATTTTGCTATTTGCTCCACTCATGAATAGCTTTTCCCGAATCCAACGTATTTCGGGCTATGTCTTCCATCCACAACATCTTTTCATCTTTCCAGGATGATACGGCCTAATAGTTTTTTGGGGGTGGACAGGAACATGATCTCACACTAGTTCTTGCAAAGGCTTAAGTCACCATTCTTTTGAGGTTCAGGAAGATGTGGTCATTCTTCCAATCGGTAGGTGCCTTTGCTTCCTTCCAAAACTTTCACAGCAGTGGTGTGGGAAAGTTCACCGTGGTTTCTGGGTTCGTTTTCAGTGCTCCTGAGAAAATTCTAATAAATCCTACAACTTCTAAGTTTTAGTAGCTTTACAGTCTAAATGGCTTATGTTTTTGTTGGTGGGTACATACTCACCAGTAGTTCTGTGTTTGCTGACGGTATTTATGGACGAGTTGCAGGTTGTGATTGATTAAAGAATCCTTTAAAGTGATTAGCACAACCTTTCCTTGGTTTCCATCTCTGTAGTAATTGGGTTTTCTTCACTTTCTTTTATTGGCTTCATCTGAGTTGATCTGTTCCCCCATAGTGACATTGTTATTTGATGTAATGTTCTAATGACTTTCTTAGCTGCAGTTTTCCGCTTCATCTACCAGTGTGTTGTGAAAGCGTCTTTTGTCTTTCCTAGCACTCTTCATCACTCATTTGTTCAGCGCGTTGTAGATTATACTTAGCTGATCCCTTTGTTGTTATTCTCTGCGCTGGCTCATCTTCTGTTTCACTATCCTCCTCTGCTCTCTCAGCTTGCAGGTGTCTGCGAAGAGCCATTCATTGTTTATTCTCTTCTTGTTGCCTATGATATTCATACATATCGCTTTCAGAAAGTTCCAGTTTTCTTCCACAGACGTCTCCTCAGTTATGTGTTTAGTATCGCCAGCCTTTTTCTAGTGGCCACAGTAAAGGTGTTCTTTGTTGTTTCGTTCACTAAGAGAGTGTTGAACTTGAACTATCGTCAGTTTCTTGCTTCTCCGAAGGCTTTCAACTTTACTCGAAGGTCTCTCGCACTACATAGTGATCTGCATCTTTTCTGCGTTTTGTGGTCAGCAGACTCTGTTGTCACTTTGTTTAGATTGAGATGAAGTCTATCTGATTTTCAGTGCGTCCATGTATTGCAACCCACGTCGTCTTGTGGATATCCTTGTGGTTGTATGTGCTGCCTCCAATCACCAAATAACTGAAGGCACAGAAGTTTGCAAACAGTTCTGCATTCTGATACATTTCGTCGGGAACCTCTGTGGGGTGCAGTTGCTAGCTACTCACCCAAACTCCCCTCCTTTTTGTGCTTATGGCCGGTTAGTAAAATAAGCCAGATTTTTTATCTTGTGTACGCACTCTTATTCTGGCAAAAAGTCTGCTTAATTTTATCATAAATAAATAGGATAAGGTTTAAAAATTAAAGGACATATGGGCTAGTCTTAACAAAATCGCCTTATGAGAAATTTATGTGTGCAGAAATATTCAAAGTCAAATTTACGTGCTATGGTGTTTTTAAAATGTTTAATAAAATTAATGCAATATTGTGGATTTTTGGTCAAATTAAATTTCACTTCATTGATGTATGAACTCATGTTTTTTATTTATTTAATGACTTCAGCAAAAGTTCGTCCACATGTTTACTCTTGGTATGCATTATTGTTCAAGATGTTGTCGTGGGTTTCCAGATGTCACCTCATTCATTATTCATATACAAACTGAGCATTTCTTCACTATTCCTGGTGATTTCGACGCTTTGTGTACATATTACTCGTCAAAGAATCAAGAAGACTCTAATAATGTGATAGCTGTATCAAACATATCCAATCTCCTAACATTGTACTCTTCTTTATCTCGTTCAACATTCGTCTCATATACATTACCTGACAATATAACTGTGCGTTGTGCATTAAATGGCAGAAGTTCATGTGTAAAATGTTCTGTATGCAATTCCTGTTTCCTTACAACTAGTCACTTAGATTTGCATATGGCTCAGGTTAGTTTCTATTTTATTTGGTTATTATTTTCCCGTAGTCACTTTGGAATTCTGAATGTTGATGTATAAATGATTTTTGTGCAATGTGCATTAGTGTTTACTCCAAGATTCATTTTCCGTAGTACGTCAGTGGCATAGCGGTTAGGACGCTCACCGACCATGCACATGGTCCGGAGTTCGATGCCCGGCCGACGCACTCCTTTACCTCGCTAAGCCAGAAATAATGCTGGTGAAGAGGAAAGGTTGGGCATGAGGCTAGCAACCCCATCCTGTAAAATAAACACTGCTACAGAAACTTCAAGCCACTAGCTTGAAGCCTTATGTTTCACTGGGGAACGTGAAGGAAAAGAAAATTAACAAACTGGCACTTTTAAAAGGTTTAACACAGGTTACGACTTCAACTGTATTAATAGTAGACTTCCTTAAGGGTTTTAGGAACTCTGTCTAACTTTAACTGTTGACTAAATTTTCAACTCACTGTATATATATTCTTTTTGTAGTTCATTTTAATAACTTTTCTGTGTTAACCTTTTCCCTCACTTTTTATACCGATAACTGCTACTTTGACATAGTGATCGAGTTTACACGTCTCAACGATGTCTGTTAGGACGACTTTTCCATAGAAAAAAGATCAGTTGAGCAATGATAAAACTAAGAGCAGTTACCAGCATAACGTTAGATTACTGTGGGCGAATTCGTACTTCTAATCAAGATGAACTTAGTGTTAGCTAAATATTTCCTTCGCATGAACCAATTACGGCGCTTTGAAAGATAAAAGACTCTAAAAGTGCAGGTCTCAAAAGTTGTACATCCAAACATACCTTGCAGTGCTCTGTATCTTACAGTAATATTTTTTTATAAACGAAGTTTTACAAATTTCATCCCAGATGACCAAGATTTGCCTTATCGTAGGATTTAAATCTTGACGTTTTGTAGCTATATTGGACTGTGAACTAATTGACCAAAGAGGTATTTTACTCCAACTCTTGTGGTCCTGTAGAAGCTTCCTGTTGTCTACTGCAACAGAACATTTTGATCCAGTAAATCGAGCATTTTTGAAATTTTTATTTAAAATACAAATTTTGTATAACATGGGGGCTAAGAAACGTACCATACAAAATAGTAGAACTATATAAGCCGAAGAAAGGTGAAGTAGTTGACAAACGTCAACAGAATGGGGAACAAATAAGTGAGTATCCTTCTCAAGAGTATCCACTACTTCTTAATACTTTCAGAAACACAAAAATGACGGAAATCGCAACATATTCGCCATTTATTTCGATTTTAGCCATATAGTATAGTTTCCCGAGCAACTGGTTCGGATAGTCTCTCGAATTGTTGTGATGCACTAACAGGTGTGTTAACAATCCATCCCATGGCTTTTAGGTCATGAGATGTGACCACCTCAGGTTTTTCCATCCACTTCCTAAAATAGCAAAACGTGAATGACATAGAGGTTGCTGGGATGAAATTCCTAGCACATATTTAAGCTACGGAAGCCAGTATTCTGAAATGATATTACTTTGTGAGAAAAAATTTCCACCATGTCGAAACACACCATCAAGTCCTAGAATTACTTGTGCAGTTAACATTCTGCAGAAACAGTGGTGACTGAGTACTCAGGGTTACCTCACATTCGTTTTTCGGGAAGACCAGGTTTCGCAGGGGTGTTAGAACATGACTGCAATCACTGAAGCGTTGTAAATCCGACACTTTACAGCCAAAATAGCGTCGTAACTGGGCCAGGACCAGTGCAGGGTGCTGTGCCGACGTCCATTAGACGATTAAAAATTTCATTTGTAACATATTTATCAGCTCCCACGTAACTACCTATATACGTGATCTTCTGGACTACTTTTTACCGCTCACCTGCAAGATTGAGTGTGAATGTTGCAATTGGACAGTACAAATTAGACACCTAGAAACACTGACTACGAACTGATTGAGTAGCTTTCGCTTTTTCACAGTAGGACAACTGCGTCGGTGGCTAAGCTGTTAGGAAACTCGCCGACCATGCACATGGTCCGGGGTTCGACCCCCTGCCGGCACACACCCGATATCTATGGTCGGCCTGCAAAATTTGGGCTACCGATATCCATGCTGAAAATTCCATACCTGTACCTAAAAATACGGTGTGGCATCAAGCTGTAATAAAAAAAAAATTGTCTGCACACTTACGATTGGAAGGCCTTTCTCCGAGCAACAAATCTACACGACTGCTGCCCACATTCTCCAGAGATGTCTTCTGAATATCATCTGACGCGAAGTTGAAGAGAAGTTGCGAGTTTGCGAGCAGTATCAATGGGTGGTTGTATATTTTCTTCCTACCTAAAGTTTTTTTGTATGGATCTTGAAGAACTTCTTACGAACACCTCTTTGTAGCGAACAGTTCCGAAAACAGTCCCATCCAATGAATCAAAGACAGTCCTAATGTAAAAAAATACGACGATTGTTGACCTGAAACACCTGAACACGTAATAGGTAGATCCAGGACTTGAACAAATTCAAGCCTGCTCCTCATATGTCCTACTAATTCTGTGGGATACAACAGCAGTCAGTATTTTTGAACGGACTTGCAGCAGACTAATAGCCCGGTGATTATCACGTGCAATAAGTAAGCTCCTCTTAAAGATAAACATAATGGTGGCTCTACTTCACATTAAATCTTCTATGCCCTCCCCAAGATTCCTATCAGTTCTTTCAGTGTAAGTTGTTTGGACCTGGTGCCTTTATGGCACTTCAGTAATTAGTGTTCCTATAGGACTTCCGCTTTGATCGACCAACTAAACTGTTCCTCAAAGTTCTGTGTCAAGTGTTCCAGGCGTTTTTAGGTTTTGAATCGAAATACTATCTGCCTCACAGACTGTCTCGTTGATACCATGCTTCCTGCTGTCGGCGATTAGGATGAGCTGAAACAACCTCCGATTGTTGTCGGATACAGATGCTGCTATCATCTCAAACACAAGTTTTGGTCAACGAGCTCTACAATCACTACTTAAGCACTGTTTGGCTGTATGTATGGTTAGTTAGCTAGTTAAAACTCAGTTACCGAAACATATTTTTGACGCACCGAGCTATGGCCCACGCCTGTTATATAAAGGCCAATGTTACAACCAAGTTACTCAGTTTGAAGTACACTAAGTGGGACTACAGCCTAGGGTCGTTGGTGCCTGAGGCTATGAGCCACATCTTCATAGTTTCATGTATAAGAGCCCTACACAGTTTAGTGTACTCGCTATCCACCTCAACTGATTAACGGTATCAGGAAGTTACAAGGAGCACAGAGAAACCAAGAATTTTCTAGCAGGACTTCTTTCTGAGATGCATTTTCCTGTGCTTACCATCTTCATTTCGTTTTTCAAGTGCAACCGGTGTTCATATTTACTCTATAGGTGATCAAAGAGTTAACCTTGAGTCTTACTCTGTTTGATAGTGAGTTACAGTGGCAGGTGTGACCAATTTACCTAAATCAACCTATTTACGATGACATCTATAATAGACAGACCGGGATATCAAACGATGGAAAACAGCTTACGGAAGTAATGGTAACAACAAATGTAAAAATGTTAAAAATGAAACAAGACAGTTTACATACAAGAATAGCAACAACGAAATGACAATGAATTAAATGACTGAGCATCTGTTTGATAAAGTGGCAGTTGTGATAGGTTGTGAAAAGCTGGAAATCACAGGTTTCAGTAATAGTGACTAATGGCTATTGTACAATAGATGGGTATTGTTGCTCAGTGGACTGTTTGGTGGATTTCGGCTTCCAGTTTCAGTAGAAACTCCATAACCGATACTGGAAGGTAGTATGAAAGGCGCCTTCTGTGTTCCAGTGCTAGTCACCACCTATCAAACATTTTCCTAATTACTCTCATAACAAATTGAATCTTGCTGTCGTATGCCTATGCTTATCATACGTATTGATCCTTAGTGAGATAAAATTCACTTACTTAATAAATCATAGATTCTCAAAACAATATTTCGACTTCTCGTACTGTTTGATAATATTCATATTTGGGAATTTCAACCGCCTTATTGTTATTTTATTTAACAATACTTCATAAATTGCCTATTTTGTGATTTTTCTTTTAGGCTCATCACCAGTACTGGTGTCCATTATGCCCCTATGCATGTCAGCGAGCGATTTTACTGTGGAAACATTATTCCAGCAATCATGAAGGTGGTAACCTTACGAAAAGCCCAGTAATTGTCTCAAGTAAACTGCGTCGGGTTATCAGTCCGGAACCAGTTGTCACAACATTATCTCCGATTCAAGCTGTAACAACGCCAACCACATCAGTTGTTGGAAGTACAACATTAGTTACACCAGTCATTACAGAACAGTATAATGGGCGTGTTATTTTCGGTGATAAATCCCAGGTTGGCTTTTTCAATGATTACTTGTATCACTTTCATATCGTGGTTTTTATTCTATATATATATATATATATATGCTGTAATACTTCACATATATTATCTCATCTTGATGTTTTGTTTCACTATGACGCCCTTACAAGTATGCCTATAGGTTAACATGAGTATGTTAAAATTGTACACTGACTTTATGCAGATAATGTGAGCCAACGGAATAAAATGGATCCACGTTATTCTGCACCAATATTTGTTCATTCTCTGTTCAAATTACAGGTATATTAAAGACATGTTGGGCATTGTAATATAGGGCTATAAGGCTGAAGGTGATACTTGTACTAATGTCACAATGAAACACGTGAGAACTTTCTGTGACAACAAGTGGAGGAGAATTATGATATTCTTTAAACTGGAGAAATTCAAGGAGAATGATTCAGAGATAGCTTTCAGCAGCATTTAATAGAATCCTGCAACATAGAAGATAACCAGTAAGTCTAATTCACTCTCTAGGCATAAAATGAAATAAGAACCATTGGATGCAGACGATTTGTGATGTGGCTAAAAATTGTTCTCAGTGGTGCAAATGCATTCACTCTTTGCATATTGCCATACCCACTAAATCTTAATGTTTCTCCTTGTTACTATTCTTTTCCCTCAGTTTTCTGCTGATAAGAATCCTTCTAAATCCGTTTTTCTCTTCCATGGAGTGACAACTTGAACGTCTGTGCTTTTGTTCAATGTTTTGTGTTGAAACTCAATCAGGCATCGATAGTATGCTATGTAGTGAATCTGAAGTCAATTACATATTTCACACCAGTAGATCAGGTCAGTTAGATAAGGTGAACGTAAGTATCTAGCTAGAACTAGAATGATTGAGCCTAATAATAAATGGGGTAATCTGGAAAAAAGTTCCCTCATTTCCATACAATAACACAATAGGGTGGAATAGGGTAAAAGTATTAAAACGTAATATAGATAGGTAGGTATAAAGAGGGAGATTATTCACTGAATCTTTGCTCATCGAATCAACGCAAAACACGTGAAATCGAAATGATGCGATATCTATACCAGATATGTTTTCGAAATTGCAACAAAGTCATCATGGAGTAAAGTAAGGCTACATAAAGCAAGTTATCAAGTCGTGTGACTACATTGATATGATAATGAGAAGTAAACTGTGCTCAAAACATCATCCAATTATTAATATTTTATTACTGTGTTATATCGAACGAAACTTTCTAATATGGCGAAGTAAAGTAAGTTGATTCATCAGTCCAAGGAGTGTGTACCTTTCTTTTTCTTCATATACAGTAGCAAATACACTATTTATCATCTCTTTCCTTCTATATTGGTGTGACTCGAACCTCTTCAGTTCACTACTTTTCCTATCTTGACACAAATTCGCCATTAAAAGCTTGAAAAGAGTGATTACGATATTTGGAGAATTACCTGATTATTTTTTACAAAAGTGAACTAAAAAATCTTCGGTTTTTTACAATAAACGGATCCTTTTATTCATAACTGAGTGCCCCAGTGTTTACATTTTTATCAAGTATTGGTTTGCAGGGATTTGATCATTTGATGACATCAGTTCGAGAATGAGGGAGTACTTACTGGGCAGCGGCTAATTCCTAACTTAGGACTCTTCAGCAATAAGAAGCGGCCTGGATTCGAATTCACAACCTTTTGGTTAGAAAGCGGACTCGTAGACTATTGTAACTAGAAAGTCTGGTGTTCGAACCCGTTGGGCACCAGCAGTTGAAGAGTACTAGGATGACTAGGATGAAACAGGTCTCCAGCACTCCACAGTTAACATTTTTACTAAAAATGTTCCTCTAGAATTATGCTGCATACACTGGTATTCAGTAGTCACTTTGAATGGTCAGCAGTATGGCAACAGTATTTTGGGAATATTATTTGTCATATTTATTTTTACTAGATGTAATACAAGCACTGTCATTGGAGCTGAATATCCACATGGAACGGTGAAACAATATCTATGATAGGCTGTCGTAAAGGTTTTTTTCCACTTTACATTTTATCGCTATCTTCACTCGCCAGACACCTGTTTGTCCCGTGGACAACAGTAATATGGAGAGTCCACAGTTTTCTCAGATAACGATGAAAATTGTTGATCGTTAGCACAGACAAGTGCATATTTTAAGTCGTAATTCGTTTTATTTTCCATAATAGGGAGAGATAGTGACAGAAATATGATCCACCTATCATAAATGAATGTATTTAATCCATGGGTTTTATATATCTACTTTTCTGTAACTTATAGTTTCATAGGTGTGACTTGTGTCGGGAATTCTTCGTAGCAGTTGAAGACTTGAATGCGCATAACGAAAGATTTCATAGAATTGAAATACCAGATGATGATGATGATGGTGATAATAGTCGTGGTAATTTTGATGACGTCCCAGCGTCTGTTGAATCCAGTTCATCATCAAATAATAGTAATAATAATAGTAATACAACGCCTAGCATCACTCCTATCGCAACTGGCAATAAATCTTCCCAGTCAACCGCCTCCACTTCATCAGTGAACTCATCAGAAGTATCAGATGGGACAAAATCTAGATCAACTTCTAATTTACATAGAATACTGATTGTTGACTCCTCTGTTAATGAACAATCAATGTGTAAAAGTATTCCATCTAGGAGTAACATTAGTAGAAGTAATGATTCTGAGAAACCATCTACTAACGGTGAAGATACTATCAACAAGAATGGTAGTTATGTTGTAGTTGACGAAATAAATATCGATGATGATGATGATGCTGACTGCAGGGATGCAGCAGAAGGACAAAGTGGATTACAGACTACGGCTCCGGTCATTGTTGATGATGATGATATTGATGATGACGAATTTGTATGTCCAATGTGTGAGTTTCACAGCAAACAACGCAGTGATATAATGCAACATATTGTAGATTGTCATTAACCCTACACTTCGACTAGTCCTACACCTACTACTATCTTTCTTTTTTTTTATTGCTGATTGTATTTACGTGAGCACTACTTTTTGCTACAAACGGGTTGTGTGTATATATTTCAAATAGAGGGGAAATGATTGATTGTATCAGTTATTGATTGTAATATAAAAGTGATTATTTATTCTGCCTTCTTTTCATAACGATAATCTGTTCGGCTTCTCAGAGTTGATGCTTCTTCTTATTTATTTGTATACATTGTGTGTTCACATATATTTTGTAAAATATATTTTAAATCTCCCTAGAGGTTATTTATTGTTATAAACAGAAAGTATTTTATAATCCCATATATTTCTACTATTCTTTGCTTTCACAGCTTTTCTTCATTATTAAGCATTGTTGATATCATTATCATTCATTACTTATGAATTATTTTTTTACACGATTATTATATATATATATATTTCACCAAGGTGTTTTACTCTATTATATAATATATATATATATATATATAAGGTCCTGGGTTTGAATCCCGGTGGGTGCGTACTGATGAAGAGTCCCAAACTAGGACGAAATAGTTGCCCAGTACTCACAGGTTTTCCAGTGGTTCTCTAACTGATGTCAGCTCATGATGAAATCCTCGATGCAATCTATTATATAAATTATTATGATATATGTGTTGTGATTTGCAGGTGAGCATAACTCCATTATGGATAACATTTTATTTTGGCAAATCTCACAGTGTTCTCCAGTAATATTAACTGATGACGTTTCGAGCACAAACTATTACTCATAATCATATCAAGTTACTCACACAACTTTTTTCCTTCATTTATATACGTGTGTGGAGTTGACTAGATATTTAAATAAAAATCAATATGGGATAATGTACATTCAGAAATAATAATATGAGTGTTAGTGATCAATTACAATTAGATGGGAAATAAGACGAGTGTTTCTGTAGTCATAATAAGTTACTTGTTAGAATGTTTTGATGTGTTTGAAATGAAATAGAATATTAAGATTATTTATTATTCTCTTCTGATTTGACCGGCGGTAATAATATCTTCCATATCTCTGGTATTTGCATTGAGTCATTTCTGCTGCATGTGTTGGGTGTAGACTCCATGAACAAGGATTCCGTAATCAACCTCTCTCTCCATCTACCTAGATTACTTTTTAGAATTTTAACCCTCTCCCACCCTATTGTGTGGTTGTTTGTTAATGAGTGAAGTGCAATTGCTGAACTTTTTTCTAAATTACTCATCTTTTGAGGGTTAACCATTCTTCCCTTAGCTAAATTCTTATGTTCTGATAATCTGACTACCCCCAACCTACTAGTTTGACCTATATAATTAACTTCACAGTCATTGCAGGGTATTTTGTAAATTGTTATTTTGTCTAATTGGGTCAACCTACAGGGTCCTTTAACCTACAGAGCTTGTCCCTGAGTGAGTTTGAAGGTTTGAATGCCACCCTTATTCCTGCTTTATTAAGAATCCTACGTAGGGCCTCAGATGTCCCCTCCTTATATGGTATTACAGTGGATGACTAATTATTATAATTTCTGAATGTACATTATCTCATATTGAATTTTATTCCAATATCTAATCGATTCCACACATGTATATAAATGAAGGAAAAAGTTGTGTGAGTAACTTGATATGATTATGAGCAGTAATGAATTGTGGTCGAAACGTCATCAGTTAATATTACTGTGTAACACTATGTGATTTATCAAAATAAAATGTTATCCATAATGGAGTTATGCTCTACCACAGTACCCAAGGTTTATACTTACATTGCAAGTGAGCAGTTGGCAGGCAATTGCCACACACATCCATGATACTTCACTCTAAAAGATGCTTGCAACAGCAACTGAAATTCATTCAGTCTGTTTAGTGTATCACGTATATTCTTTAGTAAAGTGATGGTAGTCAAACGTATTTAAGCTTTTCTTTCAAATATGCTATCATTATTGATCGTTCACAGCAATCGTATGTTAGAGTTAACCGCGTTGCATTGTATGCAACCGTTAGGGAGTGCTATCAGTGATGAAATCAAAACTATCCGTTTATTGGCTAAAATTGTTTTTTTTTGACATTTCAGATAGATGAAATTTTCAATAGAGTGAACTAATTCATTTTCAAGTATTGATTTCTAGGGATTTGATTGATTGGTTACAGGATTTCATCATGAGCTGACATGGATTAGAGAACCATCGGAAAACCAGCTGGGAGTACTGGACAGCTGTTTCGTCCTAGATTGGGACTCTTCTTCAGTACGCACCCACCGGGGTTTGAACCCAGGACCTTCTGGTTACAAGGCGAGCTCGTAAACCATTGAGCTAATGTCAGTTCACGATGAAATCCTGTAACCAATCCATCAAATCCCTACCCACCCCTACTTGAATATCGATGAGATGCTCTCTGGTGACTGGCCCTATTCAGGTAGGTAGTTACCTGGGGTTCTAGTGGGAATTCGTGACCAGTAGGGTGCAGCAGGTCGGGTGTGAGGACAAATACTCGCCGAAAACGTTGGCTAGTGGTCGCACTATGTCGTGAATTGGCAGAAGTTAGAATTCATGGACTGGCAATTGAATCGGGTCCTAGTGATTGGATGGTATACGAGCTTGCTTGGGCCTGGGTTCAAACCTTGCTGTCGAGTGCGCACTGATGGAGAGTCCTAAGCTAGGACGAAACAGCTGTTCAGGTTTTCCAATGGTTCTCTAACTGATGTCAGCTCATGATGAAATCCTGTAACTAATTCATTTTTTCTATAATCAGATAGTTTTTCAACTTAAATTAATGGATACTTGGTGTGTGTGAAACCTTTTATAAGCATTCTTCAGATATCCGAGGGAGATTGCATATTTCCAGTATTTAGACACAACAAGTCTGTGTTAAATGTACAATATAAGCTGACCAATAAATCACTGCTTCAACATGTTAAGATGACCATACATTAGTACTAATCGATAGATATCATACCGAACAGTGTATGAAGCGATTTTTAGCAGAAGATAAAGCAGTTCACAAAGTCATTTAGTTTAAAAACTATTCTGTATCAACCCTCATCATCTTTAGTAAGACATGACTATGAAAGTAGAATCTATGCAAGATTTATCTAATGAGACAAGTATATCAGTCTATTATGACTCTGAATGATCATGCATTACGAGGTAAAGTTAGAGTTACTCAGTGATCATACACGTGAACAGACAACAATATTTTGGGGATACAATAGGTATTTCCCACTGGTTCTCTGAGTTCACCAATGGAATGATCAAGCAATAATCTTGTGTAGTAACAGTCTGTCAACTGCATCAGTAATCCATCTTAACTCTACATTAGAAAAAAAGTGCAAGGTCATGATTTTGACAGGCGATCGCTTACATAGCAGTCGATTATCATATGGTTGTGGAAAAGCGCGGGGGGGGGGGCGGGGTGATATTTGAAGTAATTCTGCGTATCAATGTTTAAAATTTTCACTTTAGACTTATGTCATTTGATCATCGAGTTGGCGGTTAGTATTATAATGGTGGAAAGAATCCCCTTAATTTTCTAAGTTGCTTATAGGCCGCTGAAATTTAACAACAGTCAGTATCCTCAATGAAGTCAAGAGTGGATATCGGATGACAGAAGTTTAAGAAGTAATTTACTTGAAGACTTTCACCAATCTCTTCCGTCAACTTCAATGTGAGTAACTTTCTAACTCGTCATTCTGTAACATACTTCCGCTAATTGTAGATTTTCTGTGTAATTCTGTTTAACAGACTTAAGAAACTATCTACTGTCTTGTGCTGTCACTTTTTCTCCAATTTCTTCGGATTTTCTAGGCTACTACTTCTGCTCGTAGTCATTGGACCGGATATATTTGCTAGTGTGTGTTTCAGTTGCTTCCACTCTTTATTTTGTTTGTAGCCTGCGGAGGGTTGCTGACATATACTAGGCCTATTTTGTGTTTTCATGAATAAGAAAGAAATTCGTATTAACTGTCACCACATATCGCAAAAATAGTATGAGAATCAATTCGGATATTGTAGGAAAACTCAATCTCAGCTAACGTAACCGAAGATAATAAGCGAAAATGGGATTCAACAACATTTTCGTGGTGTAAGCCATACCGAGGGAGAGGGCTCTCGAGTGGTTGCGCCACAGGATGATCCTGCATGCCGGTCTCGTCTCGCAAGAGGCAGGGATGGGTGTGTTTAGCTCTCCTAAAAACCAATACCCAGTCAATGGGTGTATCACTGTGTGAATCCTTTTCGTGGATTTAAAGTGTTATTCTAATGAGAATTCATGCCATCTTTTTCTAGTGATTAGTAAGTAGAGTGTTGCACACGTCACTTCTTATTTATATTGAAAGATTCGATGTTCATTAGAGTAACTGGAGGTCAACAACAATCGATAGAAGTTTTTCGTCTACTTCACTTCAAGTAAATTGTGTCTAGGTGAAAGTGTTATCTGGGCTGTAGATAAAAACGTAGTGACCTTTAATGACTTACTGGTCATTATCTTGTATGTGACTACCGAAAAATGAAAAATATTCACCTCTTCACGAGAAGTTCCATGGCATCTTTTTATACTGCACTTGAATTACCATTAGTATACAACAATCCCCATCTAGGCAATAATGAAAAGAACAAAACAAATAGTTCAGAGAAGAAGCTCTTTTAGCCAATTTTCTTTTCTTCAGTTGTACGATCGCATTTATATACAGTTTATTCATGAAAGAAGGTAGCAACAAAAGCGACGAGTTGTCATAGTTGTTATATTATAGTATTGGTGCGTCGGTGGCACAGTGGTTAGGACTGTCACCGACCATGCACATGGTCCGGGGTTCGATCCCCTGCCGACGCACACCCGATATCTATGGTCGGCCTGTCAAATTTGGGCTACCGATATCCATGCTGAAAATCCCATACTTGTATTGAAAATACGGTGTGGCATCAAGCTGTAAATCAAACCACTGAGTACCACCAGAGAGTACTGGACAGCGGTTTCGTCAGCCTAGTTTGGCATTCATCGGTAGTATGCACCGACTTCGCGGGATTCAAAACCCATGATCTTCCGGTTACAAAGCAAGCTCACATACCATCCGTTCACTAGGACCCGTTTCAATTGCTAGCCCATGAATTCTAACTTATACTAATTCGTGGTTTTAGGGTGACCACCAGCGAATGTCATCGGCGAACATTTGTCCTGACTGCCGACTGGATACATCCCACTGGTCACGAATTC